GAGCTTTAGATGCAATAAGAGAGGTTTTCCCTGTGCCTGTTTTATTTGGCATTGGGATATAAGGAGCTCACTTTTGTTGCTGTTTAAATCCTGTACTTGCTTTGTCAAAACTTTCTCCAAAGAGTTGGCAGTTGGAGACTTTAGTTCACTATAAAGAATGCGGCTGTAAGACTCTGCTAGGCATTTGTCTTATTACATAGATCTATAAACCTAGTTCCTGCTAAATCCCGGAGAAGCTAGGACTATATATAAGCTGCTTGTTACAACTATTCTTTCTAATTTGACTGCATTTTTAGTAATGTATTTTTCTTATTTTTCAAACTTGACTTTGCTGCATTTTTCCAATTGGATTTTGAAAGTTAAAGACTCAGGAATGCAAACTTCAAAAAATGTGTACATGTGTGAACCCGCAGAGGAGCACAGCACAGTTCCGTGTGTGTTGTATGTAACCCAGTAAGAAAGATTTAAAACATTAATTGTTACACTTAAAAGAATTATTCAACTTTAAAGACCAGAGACTGTTGTGAGAATTTACCATTTCAAGGAATATGATTTTCTGGCTGGCATATGGTACTGTTCTTTGAAAATTACAGACTATTTCAGCACGCTCAGCACAACATAATTTATGTCTTCTCTCTAGTACTCTCCCTTAAAACACATTTGGCACAAACAATCATGGGAAAAATGATTATTTTTTCAAGTTAGCTCTTAAGTATTGGCTTGACATTATCTCTCAGTGATACTGTGTTCCATATCAGCCGAGGTTGCTATATCTTTATCACTTATATCTCTTTTCTCTTTAACTTGCTTTGTTTGTTAGATTTGTATCCCACTGCTTGGCCAGAGCTCTGAAAAAGTTCTTGCAACTATCCAGTCCAGTCTAGCAGGCCTATGCTTTTCCTAACCTTTTGTATATATTAATCTCCCAGAGGCTGAAGTAGGTCTTCTTATGCTTTGACATTACTGTATGGAATGGGAGCACAGCTTCATTAGGTAACTGAATGGATACATGTTTTAAAAAAACCAATGAAAATAAATATTGTGATTGGGTACATTTGTACAGTAACACTGCCTCCTGTGGAATTACAAGTCTGCTTGAATTGTGGTGGGTTGCCATTAGGGATAGTACAGTATATCTGGGGCTGCAAAAATCTGGATGAGCATTAGATGGTAGCAATACAGTGTTCTGTAATAACTCTGCTGCCATCTAGTGTTTTCATAGTTTTTGCAACCCAGATATTGTAGCCTAAATTGCCATCCCACTTAGCTTTGGGAGACTCTCCCACTACTTTTGGTTGCGTTGTGACTCAACCCGCTCCCGTCAGAAATTAAATGATCCCATTTAGAGTTCTGGCAGAAATTTGTGTTATCTCTTGTGGGAGTATCTTGAAGTACATAATTTCAAAATGGTGATATTCTGCACAAAAGGCTCTTTCAGTCCTACCATTGATTATTGCAAACTGTAAGGAAGACTAGTATATGCTGGTGACAACAATTGTAGCATGGATTTAGAAGAAGAGATTCTGCATGGATTTGCTAATCACGAACTAGCAAAGATCACATAAACATTTCAGAAAGTTGTTTGAAACTATTGCAAATTAATCAACAAACTATCATGGAGAGAATCATGTGATCACATAAATAAATGTCAGTGAAAGGAGAATGGAGCTGAGAAAAGTATCAGAAATCAAAGCATGTTTTAAGTGTATGCATGTTTAATGTGGGGTTTACATTGGTTTCAGTTAAATCAGACTAAAGGATGAAATATAGACTATATAGTTAGAATTTACCTTTTCTTCTGCATTCTATCTGAAGGGCACACTATTCACTTGTGGCATAAATGGTATGAGAGAATATCTTGAGGTGGTCATAAATGCTTCGTATCTGTCATGTATGGAACAAGTCCAAGTTTGTCCTCTATTAAATTCTACTGCCCTGCTTATTTTTTCAACTGAAAATGTATATTCTGTGAGTCACGTATGTACATAAATTTAGTTCATATGTGAGAAATGCACATTTTAATATCCATATTTTGCAGTTTCTCTCTCCCTACTAGTATTTATTCTTAATATAAAACTCAAGATTGGAGATGAATGGCATAAATAATAAGTGGAAGATTCTTACTTTGTCCTCTCATTTTGGTTCCTCTTCAATAATTTTTCAAAGCCTCAAAATTTCAGTTGCATAACGCATAACTATATGAGGTTCACAGAGGTAAACTGAGTGGTTACCTTGTTTCTACATTTCTTTGCTTTACTTGGCCAAACTTAGAACCTTGATGAGGTTTTAAACAATAGTTCCTTGTACGGATAACGTATAAAGTCAATGCCAAAGGTACATTTCAAAAGAAACCACAAGTCCTCTTCAGTTTTTAAGTCTTTGGTGCTGTTTTTGTTAAATGGCAGCAGTTTCTATGGAGAAAGAAGAAATATTTATAAAATAACCTTATGCAACACTTGAAATTTGATTTATGTTCAAAAGTAGACAATGATTTTCCAGAAATACCCTTCTTTCTTAGTTTAAAGGCCCCCACAAACAATTATTTTATGTACATGAACTTGAGTAGAGAGTTAGAAGCATTTGTTTAGAATTGCATACCTCAATCTGAGCATTGTTCATATGTGTAAATTCAACTTTTATAGTTCCCTCACCTTCATGGACATTCTGCAGTTGAAGTCTGCACATCCAGAGTATGAACTGGAGAACACTAATTTGTTTGTTTCTTATTGTTACATTTAGATTTTGCATTCAAAGTACCCCTTTTTTTAAAAAAACAACCAGTTTCTGTCACAAGTCTGCTGATAAGTTTCACTAATCTCACCAGAGCTTGGGTAAATGTGCTTAAATTGCAGCTGTAAATACATACATGATGGATATGGTCTGTACAACATATGATAAATATATATTTAAGTACAAACATATTATTAGATGTACAATCACACAAATGCTAGAATACAGGCTCACTTTTGCATGATGTTCTGGCTTGTAGTTGCGTAAAGTGAATTGAATTGAATTGGATTGCTCGTGCCAAGCCAGTGCCAGTGGCCCTGGCAAGTCAGTCGAAATGGTACACATGGGTAGGAAGCCTAGTTGAGGCTGGGATAGCTGGGGCTGGCCTGGGCTAGGTTTGTCAGGCAGCTGCTGTGTGCTGAAACAGCAGCTTAAACTTTTCCTTACAGAAAGTCAAGATATGCCATTCTGTACCCACTTATGGCACTTCTTAAAACTCTGGGTTTTCAGAGGACTGTCTCAATGTAAATTACCCAGCACATGTTTGTAAGCTTGAGAACTTTGTATTTTAGAGCCCGGGTACCCCCTCACTTCATTTTGATTTTATGATTTGTAATGTGTTGTTGAATTAATAACAATTAGTGTTATCGATTAAATGGTAATATCTGTCATAGGCTGCATTAAGAAGGATAACTTTGAATAGTCTGTAAGTACAGAAAAAATAAATATGCATAATGACTTCTTGCTTTAAGAACAAGAGACTGGTGAATGGAAACAAATCAGGAAGAAATGATAGGGTGACCGAAAGTAATAGAAAACAATTCTTTCTCCGAATTTTAACATATGATACCTTTCATGATGGCTTTATTTTGAATTAACTAAATCCATACTGTTTGAGATGTTAACAGGTGACCATAAACATCCAGATAATTATAATATGCCTTCTCCAACTGTTCTTCATTTTGGAGCAGTTCTACCCTGATCTTCCATTCTTTGGATGTATTGGGACTGCAAGCCAGAAATTCTGGGAGAATGGCAGTCCCAGCACATCTGGAGAGCATCAGTTGGTGAAGGTCATTCCAGTGCTGAATAATATAGGCAGGATTTTAAAGTGGGATTCTGTTCTTAAATGGAATCTGATCTTGTTGATGACATTAATATATACTGTCTTGCTATTAAGTTGGAATGGGGTAGGTTAATTTGCAAATATAGATCACTCAGGAACTGGATTCCCAAATCAGTTTTCTTTCTGTGCTGGCAGTTTGATCCTGGAAATGGTAAGCAAGGCACAAGAGACAAAATCTTTGCACCCAAACATCTAGAAGGAGATCAGCAGTTGATTTTCACTTGTGATTAAGTAGAATTTCACTGGTTTTGTTCTGTATGCATAGGATTATCTTCTCTCTCTGTGGGGTGAGAACATTGGCTACATAAGAAACTCCCTACAGTTTTTTAGAACACAGAATTTTCTTTTCAAATGGTTTATTTCCTGACCCTTGATGTGCGCTTTATTTTCAATACTTTTTCCATATAATAAAAGCAGAGTAAATGGAGCGCTTAAGGACTCACTGCAGTAGCAGTTCTGTAATTTTTCCCCATTCATGTTCCCTGTAATTAAATTCCTTGTTTTCTTCTATTGTGGATGCAGTAAGGTAGAATTATTTATACTCTTAACTGGTAGTTAAACCAACTGATCATAGGGGAATTTATCTCTGAGTAAGTATGCTTAGAATTGCACTAAAAGGGGGTGGATGTATATATGGAGATATGGATATATGTGCATGCAGATTATATGATTCCTGTTTCAATTTTGAAAGAGAAAGTTGGATAAATTTGTATTTCTGTCTTGCTACAGTTCTTCAGTCCTACACATGTTAAAATCTCCAGGAAGTGATGCAGTATAACTTGCGCTTTTGTTAATTTTCTATGAAAATTAAATAACTTGGTATATTTTATAAAGCATGTTACCTGATAACATATTTATCAAAGCACTTAATTGAGATTAGTATAAATTTAATCTTACTTAAATATAGAATAGGAAACCATGGCAAATGAACAAGCCTCTCAGTTCACTTTGGTAAAGGAGTTTTTCAGAATAATGATATGAGAGTGTTCAGAAATGAACTGATCTACTGCTTCTATATATTACGAGCACACAGTATAATTTCATAGGTTATCTGAGACTAGTCACTGGCTAGCCTCTTTTATTTGAATTATACCCTTAAAAAAGGGTTATAATTTTATCTCACAAGCTATTTATTTTCTTTTAGCTTTCCCCGGACCAGCTGGTCTTACTTCTGGAGTGTCTCCTGCAGAAGAGGACATTCTGTTCAAAAATGTTGGAATGCTTACAGAAAACTTACCACCTCCGTGAGCAGGATGCAGAGGTAATCCAGTTACAGACATAGTAAACTCACAAACTAAGCCAATAGCATGTAGTAATTGCATTCTGTTGGATACGGGATTATTCTGTTTTTTTAAAAATCAATTTTAAAAATTTAAATTTGTCCTGAAGGCAATACAGGTAGAGCACGGGTTGCATTTGCTGCTTTCAGTTTTACAGCTATGTTTTTAATAAATGTTTGTTTTTAATGAAGCATGTGTCTACATGTATGCTTGCATAGTTTGGTTAGTACAGCCAAGTCACATCTCTCCACTGTGTCTTTGAGTTTGAAAAATACACACATCTGGAGAGGATTAAATGATATATGCCTTATTGAGGATTCATTTTCTTTTTCTTTTTACTAATTTTGTACCTGCTTATATTTGGCAGTAAAACTGCTTTTTGTTTACGTTCAGCTGTATATGAGAATTTGTACTCACAAATATTAGATTGGAAGTTTATGAAAAAATAAAATACTTGTTTTCATTTTGAGTTTTCATTTTGAGTTCCATTCAAAAACAGATCTTCAACAAGAATATGTTGTACAAAGACAGTCAGTTATTTGGACTATTATTTATTAATTAATAGCTGTCATAATTCACCTCAGCCCACAGATTCTGTGTAGTGTATAACTGAGAAAAGAAAGGAAAGGAAAGAAAGGATTACAATTAAGAAAACCAGTGATTCTGCTGGCTAACTAAAAAGAAGGAGAAATCACAACAGAAGGCAGTACAGATAGCAACTAAATGCATTTTCAAGCAAGTCTAAAATCTGTTATGGGAGTTAAATCATTTACAGGGCCTGTCTTTAAAATGATTCAGAAGCTTAATCTGCTTAATGCAAAATAGAGTATAAAAACATTATCTGGGAATGGGATGATTCTGAAAATATCCCATTGGTGGTTGGGAATTTTCCAGAAAATTTCCAGAGACTATGCTGCCCTTTACCCTTTATATTGTAAAGGGCTTGCCCCACCCAGGTACTTGGTAAATTGCCCACTGTCCTATTTACAGATTAGGCTCTTGAGGTCCTTGATGGAGATCCTTGTCTGAGGGACACTGTCAAGTGAGATATAAGGAATGGCTATAAATCAAATCAGAATTCCTCAAGCTGGTACGCTTCAGATGTTATGGATTCCAGGGTCCCAGGCATCTGCTTTATATTCAGGGAAATATGTTTATTCCTCTGCAAATCTATGGATAGATTTGGAAGTTTTCTGCCTTTTGTTTTTAGATGATAACTGTACATTTGTTTTATTATAATTTTTAAATTGCTATATAAAGTGCTCATAGAACATCTTACTGAGACATTGCATAAATAAATAGCGCTACCAGCTTCATACCTCTCTTCTCTTTTACTGCAATTCTGGGGAGAATGAAAGTTTCTTTTTCAAGTGAATTGCAGTTAATGTCTCATCTGTATCCTAAATTGGGTTTAGTCTTAAATATAACTACTGAAAATGAGTGTGATTCGTTTTCTACCAATCACAGATGAAATGAACCCTAGTTTGTCTGGATTTAGAAAATAAGGAACCTGTAGGTAATCAAAATGAAGCAGAACAATTCAGAATTCTTCCTTTGTAGAAAGAATAGAAGTGGAGAAGGCTGAAGGGAGACCCTCTTAACACAAAACTATGTTTTAGCATTGCTGTATTTGTACAAGTAGTAGCTACTACCATAAAATCTTTCAGAACATGATTTTTGTTTTGTATTTTAACAAAAGGAAGCATCTGTACAAGATTTGTTCCATAAATAGAATTATATATGAAACAAAATTAAGACAAAGGCTTATCTAGGTTTTAGATTGCTGCAGTTGTTGTAATATCTTTCAGTGGTTACTGGAATGTTGATTGAAGCTTTTTATAGGTCAGTACATAAGATTGAAAGCTCCACAGTTGAGAAATGTCTCTTATATCCAAGGAAATATTTAAGATAATAGGTAAGGTTTATTTCAGCTTTAATGTATTTGTTGTTTATACATGTGCTAAAGGCCAGATTTATTTTTAATTAGCTTTGAAACACACTTTGCTATTTATAGAAATTAAGATATATTTAGGGTATATTTTAATCACTTACAAATACCAAAGAAATGTCAGGACTTCTATATCTGGAAGAGAAATAACTGAGAAGGTAGCATCAAAGTTGTGTCCCCTGTGTTGTGGTTACATGCCGGGACACCAAGACCTATGTGAAATTTTTACACTAGACTGATTTTTCCCCTTTCTCCTGGCATAAATTGTGCCAAAGATCCTTGGGGTATGTGTATTTATATATGTGTGTGTGTGTGTATTGAAAGAAAGCCACAATGTCTGTGGGAGAAATATTACCTTAACTTTATCTTGCAAGGTGAAATCAAGGGCTTTACTCTACCCTTTAAGAAAAGCAACTGAGATAACATTACCGTTACAGTTCCGACAGCTACTGGATAACAAGTACCTACAGTCCTCAAAAGGGAATGTTGTGGTACATGCTCTTGTCTGCCTAAACAAGGAAATTTCTGGGGCTCAAAACACATTAAATGCCACAAGGAGGGGATTCCCCCCCCCCCTTGAAATAAAACAGGCAGTGATTCCTAGCTACATTTTTTTGTTGAATGGCTTTGGATAACATTCAAATGTGCATCATTAAATGTAAGTCTTTATGATGCCACCACAAAGTCTTCTGTGCCTGGTTTATAAAGACTGAAATCCTACAAACACATGCTTACCAGTAAGTACAGTGGCCCTCTCTTCTGAGTAAACATGGTTAGGATCAAGCTGAATCATCTTCATTGTCTTTATTTGGAAAGAGAGATGGTTGCAAAATAAAAATCAATCTGTTACAAGTACAATTTTATACAGTACTGAGTATTTTGTGTAATTAATTTTCAGAGTAGACGGAGTGATTATCAATTCATGCTGAAGTAATGATTGTTCAGTTGTTTTAAATTATTGTCAAACATTAAATTATGAACTTCCTGATACAAGTGTTAAGTTAGATATTCCAACTGATGGTATGGTGTCGCAGTGTACAGACACACAATTTCTTCTTAGTATTTTTTAACAGGTTTGGGTAAAACCTGTTTGCCTTTAAAAACTGACACCAATGAAAACATTTACAAAAAGTTATTCATACATACATTTGCTTCAAGTTTCACATTAGGCTTTTGGTAAATCCTGTTAAAGCACTCTTTGGTTAGTTTTTAGGAAGAAATTGTGAAGATATGTATAGATAAACTAAAATAACCAGCAACAATTGGTAAGAACTGATCAGTATGAAGGGAATGTGTACCGACAGCATGTGAACTGACAAAACCTGATGAGCTATTGGGAAGGAGAGAACATCAAAGAAGACACGTAGAATATAAGATTTCAGATAATAAGATACTCTTCCCACCTAATTTGTCTCCCGGAAGGTCAATGACATTGCTGTACTGTGTGGCCCTAGGAATTAGCCATTGGATGCACATTGCCTACACAATGCTACTGTGATTGGCAAACCATCAAAGAACCTCCATATTTATCCATGGTTTAAATTCCATGATTAAATGTTTAAACCCACATGGTAAGACCGCACCATTCTTAAAATAC